AGGAAGCCTCCTGGAGAGCATTGTACGCAGCCAGGCCTTCCTGGTGAGCACAGAACGTGAGTGTGGCGAGAGCGTGCCTGCTCCGCTCTGCCTGCGAAGGCTGACCTTGGAGCTCCCTTCTCGGAGAGTCACAAGGCAGGCCAGTCTGCAAAGGGTCTGAAAAGTCCTGCAGCAAAGACATGTATTTAACTTTGAGTCACATGCCATTTGCCAAATGTATTTGAGGCATCTGACCAGGACCTTCTCTGACCTCTTTGTTTTCTCAGTGACCACTTGTGAGCACTAGAGCTATGAAACACAGGTCACGGTAGTTCAATAACTTGTCCAAAGTCGCGCAGATTTCTGGTGCAAGAGACGGTGGTAGATTTCATGAATCTGACACAAATGGGCTTTGGAAGTCTAGGACTGAGATCACCGGTTTATAAGCCCTTTCACTGGATTCTTAGTTTCCCTACATACCCTTGAATCCCATATTTCTGTGTTGCTCCTGAATGGCTCACAGGAACCATTGGGTTCTGGACTTCGGCAGTGCTGTTCCCCGGCCTTCAGTAAATACAAAAAGAATTTCCATCGAACAGGGCTCCCGCTCTTTTTAAGTCCCCCTAAAATGAGGCGTTCACGCTGACATGATAGCTCAACAGTCTCAAATTCCGATTCCTTTTCTCTGACCACAGCTACTCAAAGCTGAGTGTTCGGGGAGAGAAGGGAACAACAAAGGCCATCAAACATGAAAGGAGGTGGACAATAAGAATGATAACAACAGCTATAGAGCACTTAGTTTGTGTCAGGTGCTGTCCTTCATAGTTCACACCATTAACTCATTTAATTCCATAGCAGCTCATACGTAGGTACTATTAGCACCCCATTTTACGGGGGGAAACTGAGGTAGTAAGAAGTAACTTGGTCAATGTCACGTGCTCGTACCTTGCAGAACTGGGAAGTTAACTCAGTCTGACTTCATAGTTACTGCTTTTTCAAACTGCTGTGTTATGAAAAGAGTAATGAAAAGGACACCCAGCCTTTATGGCCTCGTCTTATGGGCTCAAGACTCATTCCGTCAGCCCCCCTGACAGCCCCGTTAAGGCCATCTCTCCCTCGCTACGATGCCAATTCCACAGGTGAGGAAACTGAGGCCCAGAGAAGTCGAGAGCCTCACCCGAGCCGCGCCATAGCATGTGGGGCACAGTGGGCCTGAGGTACTCAGGGCTCTTAATCTGAGTGTGTTCTTCCAGCACATGCTCTGGGTGGGTTTTTTCTTTTTCTAATCTCTGTGGGTGTTTCTGTGACTAGTAGTGGTTTTAGCAGGAGAAGCTGAAATGAAACAACAGTAACAAAAAATCAAACCCATAAGAAATATATTTCAGCTATAAAAACCCCTGGGTGAACTCAAAAAAAAAAAAAGAAAGAAAGAAAAGAAAAGAAAATAAGCAATCATGCAAAGGCTGAGCAAGCGCCGTGAACTTTTCTCTTGTATGTTGATGGTACATTTGGTGGAGAGGCAGTGTTATCCAAACAGATCCCGATCTCAAACCAGGCCTTGAGGGGTGAGGGTTCTGCAGAAGGTTCTGGAATTTTCTGAGATTTGGTATAAGACCCGGGGGGAGGCCTTGGGCTTATCTAATGCTTGCTCGGTGACCATACACAAGCCACTCGGCTGCTGTGCCTCAGTTTACTCATCTGTAAAATGATGGCGTGGTTACCTGCTTAGGCTCTTTTGCTTCTACAACATTATAATGTCAATTCTTAGCAAGGAAAAGATGTATTTCAGCTTCTAAACATGGACCAATTTTATCCCAAGTCTAGTGCTTTCGGGCCTAAACCTCAGTTAGTCTCAGTCTCCCTCTTCACTCCCTTCTTCGTCTGAAACACGAAGCTCCACCACCGTCTTCCATCCTGAAAGGCACACAGAGGAGTTTGAGAGTTAGGTATTTCTCCTCTGGAGTGACTTGAAAAAAAAAAAGTTAATAGGAAGCACATGGGCATGGTGTGTGAGTGTTCCGCGTGTTTGTGTTTGAAAAAAATACTTCAGGAGGAATATGTCAGGCTTGCAAAATGCCTGGGCTGTCTCAAGAGCGGTTTATGGCCATTAGAATCAGGCTGAAGGCACTTAATTGGGACAAAGTCCAGCTGCTGCCGTAGCCTTTCTGGAATCTTGGCCGTAGGAAGATTAAGAAAATAACCTGGATTATTCTCACGGTGGGGCAGGTGAGACTGAGCAAGAAATGTTTTTCCATTTGTGAGGGGCTGGCGGGGACTGTGGTGGGGATGGGGTGGGGCCTAGGCCAGCACTGACCCATGGAGAATCATCTTCTAGAAGGATCCACAAGAGCTGGAGGGCGGGATGGTATGCGGTTATGTTCCTGGGCTCTGGAGTGCAATCGCCTGGCTTCAAATGCCGCTGCCGCAGCTGTGTGACCTTGGCCAAGTAACTTTACCGCTTTGTGCCTCAGTGACTCTACCTGCAAGATGGGGACCATGACAGGACCTATGTCGTAGGGCCACTGGCACATAGTACGCAGAGCTTAGGAGTCCTGAAGGAGTCCAGGAAATAGCACTAGGAGGATCAGCACAGGCTCTGGAATTCTAGAAATCCGAGTCTGCATCCCAGCTCGGAACCCTTATTGGCTCTGGGTGACCTCGGGCAGGTCACCTCTCTCGGATCCTCATTTTCATCATCTGTAAAGCAGAGCTGATGGTGCCCACCTCCCATGGGCGCTGCAAGGACCAGAGAAGAAAGGGCATCATTCTACATACCCTGGTCCAGGGAGGGCTCCTGCTTCGCCTTCCGATCTCATCTCCCCTGCTCACCACAGCCGGATTGATGGGTCTCCCTGGCAGCCCTTCGACAAGGAGAGCCTTTCCCTGCCGCAGGGCCTTTGCTCTTGCTGTCCCCTCTGCCTGGGCTGGACTGCCTCCAGCTGCTCACATGGCTGGATCCTTTCCATCTCTCAGGTCTCCCTAACTACCTGGATAGTGCCCGCCACCACTCCCCAACTCATTGCCCATCACAGAGCCCTGTCTTTGTCTTTCACAAGCTTTACCAGTATCTGTAACCGTCTATCTATTTGTTCATTGATTACTGCCTGTCTTTCCCCTACGAGAGAATTGTCTTCATTGACTGCTGTCCCTCCCAGTGCCTCAGGGGGTGCCAGGCATACAGCTGGTGCTCAATAGTACAGAATAAATGAATGAACGAATGAATGAGGAGCCACTCCTACATAACGTAAGTCATGTATCATACAGTGGGCTGGGGAGGGGGTGTCAAACTGGGGAAGAGAGGACTGTGTTTGCTCTTCAATGTCTGCAGCCTTAAAGGTTCTGAGGCAGTAAGTCCCATTGCTATTGGCAGAGCTAAAACACCTGGCTTGAGATTGGCCCAAATGCAAGTTCAAGCTCAGTGTCTTCACAAGTGTTGACTCTTGGGATTGGCACCACAATTCATTCTCCTCTTGGGGAAGGGTTCCAGGGGATTGTACCCTTCAGTGGAACTCAGAAACGCCACTGTGGGATGGCAGAGGTGACAGCAGAGGAAGAGGAGGCAAGACAGCACCATGGTAAAAAGCATGAGTTTTGGGGGAGGCTGGAGGCTGGGATTCTACCAGACCCCTGAGATCCGACTCAGCCTGTTTCCTGTTGCACCTGTAGGTCAGTCATTGCCTCTATGTCTCAGTTTCCTCCCCTGTAAAACGGGAATTATACCAGCAACAATGCGATGGAGTGCTGTGAAGACTGTGAAAGATGTCCCAGCAACATCGGGTGGCACGTGGTGAGTGTTTGGTCCAGGTTACTGATGGCGTCACCAGCAGTCTGAGGCAGCGCCGGGCACTGATGCTCATCACCTCGTTTCTCTTACGTACTGCTAAGGCCATTTGCTGTCCTTTCCCAGTGTTTTTTGTTTTTTTGTTTTTTTCCTGAAAGGCTGCCCCGGCACCCATTTTTAAGAAGGTAAAGTGACAATATGTGCAAATAGTGTTTTAAAGGGAAAAGTACAATCACTCATTAGCCCACCACCTTGGGATTACCCCTCCAGGTTTGCACGTGACTTTTCAGGCCCTTGGCGATCACTTTTACTAGCTTTCATGAAGGAAAAAAAAATACCATGATAAAGGTCTCCAAAATATCTGCCGCCAGTCCTCTGTTCCATACGTCAGCCCTCACAGGCTCCCAATGGGGTGTGGGAGAAAGGAAGGGCCCGTGGGCGGTAAAAGAACGGAGGTGGGCACAGGAGGCTCTAGTGAGCCAGTTTCTTAGCGTGTCTGAGGAGGCAGTTACACACTCGAGCTCTTTCTTTCCCTGCAAGGCCGCCCTGGGCAGGCGCAAAGCCTTGAACCTCCTGCTGAAATAGCTCCTTTACCTGCCTGGGCAACATTTGCACCACCAAGCATTTCTCTGAGTCTGCAATGGACTTCCTGTCTCATCACACTGAAAGTCAACGCCCTCATGGCTGCATGTGATTCAGCTCTGCTTTCTCTTCAAGCCTCTCTCCTCTGTGTGTGCCCGACTCGACTCCAGCCTCGCGGGCCTTAGTTCTGTGCCTCACACACATGAAGACATTCCCTCCCACGCGGCTTTTGCACTGACGGCTCTCTTCCTGGAAGGCTCTTCCCCGGGTCTGCACATAGCTGGCTCCACCTCGCCCTTTGGGTCTCTATCCTCCATCAGCTCTTGAAAGAGCCTTTCCTGATGACTCTACCCAAACTTACGTACCCCACTCCTCCTGACCCCCACTGCGCATCATTCCCTATCCAAACACCACATTTATCGGCTTCATTGCATGCAACTCCTCCCAAATGAGCGGCCTTATTTATTATTTTGCTTAGGGTCAGTCCCTGGGAGAGCTGATCTCCGACCTATTCTGTCCCCCGCTATAACTCCACCACTTGAGACAGATACTGGCACATAGTGGGGACTCCATGAATCTGCTGACTAAATGAACGAATGGCACCCTCCTCAGGCAGAGCTGCAGAGAGGGCAGGGAGGGGCCGCAGCGCCACACTGACCGTGCATCTGGTAGGTGTACGGGCTCTGTCCAGTGGGTGGGGTGCTGAAGCTGGAGCCGTAGCCAAGGAAGCCACTCTGGCCAGGGGAATGGTTCAAGCTGTCTTCTGTCTTGATGCCTTGGAAGGACGAAGAACAAGCACCAGGGACACGTGATTAGGATGCTTCCTCGTCACCCGCAGAAAAGCTACTGAGTCAAAACAGCATGTAATTGTATCAGCGTCCCAACCAGGAGCTACAAACTGGTAGCTTGTAAGTCAAAGCTAGTCTACAGACATATTTTGCTAGGCCTGCCTATTTTTAAGAAAAATCTGAAATTAATTGTTTTTGTTTCAAAATCAGGAGATTTCACAAAAAAAAAAAATCTGGACTTATGGCATCTCTTGAGCAATGGAACAGTGTTACACCTGTGTTCCCACGTGACAAGCTGCCCCTGTAGCCTTTCCTGTTGTGTCTCCCCGGTCACCATGGATGTGGTACTCTCTCTGACACACTAAGGCTGCTTATAAGGTGCTATTTTTTTTTTTACTGAAGTTGCATTTTTTTTTTTTTTTACATCCCAGGACACTGTGAAAAGTGGGGAAGGGGAAGGCAGGGCAAGAGGGTCTTGTTATTTTGCACACGTGACAGCTTCCTGCTTCCTGCCTGGCTTCGATGGTAGAGTTCACAACCCCCTACTCCATGGCGCAGTGCCAGGCGGGGCTTACAGTTCATCAGGAGTTCGGGCGAAGCTATTAAATGAACCATCCTTCCTGTGTAAAGATGATTCCACTTAACCCTGAGACCTGCTTATCCAGAGGCCACAGTTATAAATCTTCCTTTTGTTTCGGCCAAACTCTGGCAGCTTCTCCAAAGCATAGGCACCACCAGTTCCATGAGCAACTGTCCAGAGATGGGATTGTATTGAGGGACGGGGGCTGATCCATCATCAAAAGCCCATACAATGTACTTTTATTGAAGGTATAATAAATCTTTCTTATCCTTTTCTATCTTACAGGTATAAAATGGTATTTTGGTACTAATTAAAATTGCATTTTTAAAAGAACATTTCTAGTTCTGAGGATGGTTTTGTAACTGCATTTTCCTCCTTCTCCCCCATTCACTTCCACAAATGAAGAGAATGCTTAGTGGGGGCGAAAAGGGTGGATTTTGAGATGGGGGTCTGTGCTGGAGTTCTGGGAGGTTTGTGGCATTCCAGGGTGACTTGGACGATTTCTCCTTCTTATGAAATAAGGTACTGATTCCCACCAGCAGGGCTGTTGGGAGAGTAAAGGCAGGGGAAAGAATAAACATATCAGGCTCTGAATGAGGTACTTAGCAACACACATCTCTCTCATCCTCACAGCAATCCATGGCACAGGCAATGTTGTTTTCCCCATTTTAAAGATGTGGAATCTGAGGTTCAGAAGGCCAGGCTACGCCCTGGCTGCTGTGGCTCAGTGGACTGAGCGCCAACCTGCGTCCTGAAAGGTCGCTGGTTTGATTCCTGGTCGGGGCACATGCCTGGGTTGTGGGCCAGGTCCCGTCTATTCCCTGTCTTTCCCCCTCCCTTCCCCTCTCTCTCAAAAATAAATAAATAAAATCTCTTTGAAAAAAGCCAGGCTACTCAACTGGGGTCTTGCCATGGGCCAATAATTCTGAAATTAAAATTTTCCTTTCCTTCTCTTGGCGTCTCTCCATTAATGGGTGTGAAAGGATTCTATGCAACCCCCTACTCCTACTGCAGCCGGTGGAAGACTTCGGGAACACCAATGGCTACAGTGACAAGCAGAACTTGCAGGTGCTTTCTTCGCTCAGTCCGCCAGGAAAGCTTAGTGGTGTAAGAGTGCACCTGGAGTCAACTCTAAACTCCTCGTGACCCCAAGGTCCTGCCTGGGCCCTGCTTACCCTCTGACCCTGGCTCTCTCTGGGTTCCCTCGCTCCCTCTTCTCAAGCTGAGTGCTCACTCATTTTAGTGGCTGCATGGAAAGCCAGAGTACGGAGTATCACTGCTTATTCCGCCAGTCCCCCGATGATGGACTCTAGGCTGATTCTAATTTTCTTACTTTCACTGCCCGGTATAGAACGGGCCTGCCTCCTCATGCAACATTAGAGTGGTGTCTAGGCGGGATATGAGAAATGGAGCTGCTGGGTCAAAGAGCACGTACGTTTTTCGTTTTAAATAGAGACAGACACACTGCAAGAACATGTTCGTTCATTCATCTGTTCCACGAACGTGCAGAATATTACACTACATCGGGGGTTGCAAAACATGGCCCATGGGCCAAATGTGGCTTTTTCCTGCTTTCATAAATCAAGTTCTATGGAAACACAGACACATCCATCCATTTGTGTATTATTTGTGGTGCTTTTGAGCTACAAGGGTAGAGTTCAGCACTTAAGATACTGCATGGCCTGCAAAACCAAAAATAGTCACTATCAGGTTGTTTTCTATGGAAAAAGTTTGCTGACCCCTATTTCTACACAAAGAAATGATAAACAGAAGGACCGATAAACATCAAATCCAGGGCTGTGAGTATCTCTGAGAAGACGGGGAGAGAACCTCCCTTTACATTTTAGTTTTTAAGTTGGATGGTCAGTCCCTGGCTGTTTGTAGTGCTGTTCTTTATGCTTTTACATATATTCTTAAATGGTGCATAATAAATTGAGAAAAAAATACTCAGTACTCCAACTGCCTTGCTTCCAGTTTACTCAGTTGTGTTACTTCCCTGCAATTATTTAAACAAAGGTTAATAACGCTATTTGCCAAGGAGAAATACAAGTTTCCTAACAAGATTCAACAAGGTTCCTCCAGACAATGAGCAAACACAGCTTGCTCAGGCCCAGGCATATGTGAAGGGAAGCGGCTTTTCACCCCACCTGCCATTATTCAACGACAAGGACGTTCCGGGTGCGAGGAGCAGCCTGGTTTCTACTGCACTGACTGAGCATTTCCCTCAGGCCACGACCTGTGAGCTAAGCCCTTCCTGTAAGTCAGGGTTTTGCAAATTATGGACCATGGGCCAAATCTGGCCTACTGCCTGCTTGTGTAAATAAAGTTTTATTGGAACACAGACAAACTCATTACCTATTATCTGGCTGCTTTCATGCTCCAATGGCAGAGTTGAGTAGTTGTTCACAAGGCTGCGTAGCCCACAAAGCCGAAGACATTTACTGTCCAGCCCTTTACAGGAAAAGGTAGCTGGGCCCCTGTGCAGGCGATCTCACTGAATCCTCCGAACAAACGCAAGGAGGCCAGACTTAGCCTGGCTCTACTGTACAAGTGCGGACACTCACCCGGGGTCTTGGGACCAGCGAGGGGCAGCAGGGTGGTGCGAGTCCAGGACGTGTGTGCTCTTCCTGCCGCTGATGCTGAATTGCCAGAGAACAGACTCTCCGAAAGTGACTGAGACCATAAAATGACTCTGAACCAAATTAATTTCCACCTGATGCTATGTTTTGTCTGGGAACAGGACTAGGTTTCTCTTTTATGCTGAAAAATAATATAGCTTTGTTTTTCTTGGCTGTCAGCCAGGCCGGGTAACTTACATGGGCCGGTATCATGAGTCTTTTAGCAAAGGAGGGACAGAAAGTTAAAAACGGTGCCCACTCCTGTTGGCCGAGGCCTGTCACAGGCAGCTCCCCCAGGATTTATGGAACGCACGCTCCAGGAATGGAGCCTGGTCTTGGGCTGGGACCTCCGAGCCAGGCTGCCTGGGGTGAATGCCACCTCTTCCACCGAGCAGCTGGGTGACTGTGGGAGAGTTATCTGCGCTGTCTGAGGCCCCGCTCCAAAGAGGATAATGGTGGGACCTCGCATGGAGCCCCACAGGGGGCAGCAGCTCAATGATATGGACCGTTACCAGTGCCTGACCCGAGGCCTCTCAGGACTTGTCACTGCTACCTCCGCAACTGCTCTTGAATCTGTGTCCTTCTGCCTGCCACTGCCCTGTCCCAGGCCTCCACCATCCTCTGCTCAGGCTTTATCAGGCTGCCCACTGGCCTTCCTGTCCCTCCTCCGCGTCCCTGCAATCCGACCTCCCCACTGCAGTGGGAGCGATCTGTGAAGCACCACTTCGTGCCCTACAGCTCTCTGCTTACACACCTGCCACTGCAAGGTCCTGTTTTACTCGTAATCAAGCCCTCCCAGGCCTCCCAGGCTCTGCCCACCTTGTCCCCCACGGTGCTCCAGTCCCTGGGCTTCTTGGACTTGCCAAATTCCTTCCCATCGCAGGCTGTCCCACTGTGGTCCCCTTGTGCCTGGACGCTGTCCCTCCTGAGCTGTGTGTGTTTGTTTCTCAGTTCTCAGTAGAATCTGCCCCTCATCTAAAAGGCCTGCATGGAATCTAAACTGTTATTCCTTGTTTGGTTCTCTCTCACGACCTTCTTTTCGTCCTTGACACCTTGTGTGCACATCATGACACCACTGGCTCTCCTGGGTTCCCAGCTAGCCAAATGCAGGATCTTGGAACATCTCTGCCTCCATAATCAGGCAAGCCACAGCCTATTATCTCTCTGTCTCTCTCAACTACCTATTTCCCTCCCACTGGTTCTGTTTCCCTGGAGACTCTGACTAATGCAGACAGGGACAGGTGCACTGTGGATGGTGGACCTGGCTCACTGTGTCTCAAGTTCTTAGCAATAAGGTTTCACAGGGTCTTGGGGTCAGTGGGTCTGTTGTTTTTACCTTCCCAGCAGGCATGTCTCCTTCTGATACCATCACTGTGTTTTCTTTTCAGAAAACCATCCCTCCCTCTTATACAACCCATATGCTTCAGCTTCCTTCTACCTCTCACCCCCACCTTCCTGCCTTGCTCTAAGTATTGTCACATGACCCAGTTGGGCCAGTGAGGGCCAATGTGGGATTCTGGTGGACCAAGTGGGAAAGAGGGGCTCTCCTTCTGCAGAGAGTGCTGAGCAGAAAGGATGAAAACCCAGAGTTGACAGGCACCATCTTTGCTGCCACATGGAAAGAACCTGTGCAGGAGTAAAACCAGCTCTGGGGAAAACATCTGAACACAGAGGGATGTATTCCTCCTGAAATAATTTGAGCACCTGGATCCAGCCATTCTGGATATCAGTTCCCAGTGTGTGAATCATTAAATTTACATTTCCCCTAAGCCAGCTTGGGTTAAGTTTCTAATTCTTGCAATCAAAAGAGATCTTGATATACTCTGTAGAGCTTGAACGATATTTGAAGTGTCTGTCCTTCTCTATCTCCAATACAAAATGAGTCTAGAATCATTTATCATTTTGTATTTAACTGAGGCAATAGGACAAAAGGAAGACCATAATGTTGGGGCCCCAGAGGAAAAACAAGGCCTTTGCCTGCTACTCACTGTAAGAAGGTATCCCGTAGGCTTGTGCCGGAGGTGGGTAAGCTGTGTAGGGGGAGGCCTGCTGGATCCCCGCGCTGTACTGTGTCTGGCCGTAGGCTGCCATGGCTGTGGGAGGTTGGCTGGGCAGGACACGTGGGCAAGGTCTGCATGGAAGGAGAGAAGATTTAATCTCCAAGCCCAGCCTCGCATCCCTTCCCCCCTTATTTCAGTATTAACACCACCATTTTCCTTTGGGTATTTATTCTTTCTAGGATAGACACAACCTACATGTTCATCAATCTCCATTTCATTTTCTCTCTTCCTGGGCACTGGAATGACTACATTTTCTGTGTCCCTTACAGTCAGACTTGACCATGTGGTTGGGTTCTGCCTAGTAGAACATATAAGTCATTCCCAGGTCTGGCTAATAAAACCATCCCCTATGACCCTCCTGCCCTGTCTCTTCTTCTGGCAGCAACTGTGGAGGGTGCAGATGGAGGCTGTGGAGATATAATACAGACACGTCCTGGATCCCTGAGTCAGTGTGTGGAGGAGAGCCTCCCTGGGGAGTTTCACCTGATTTACACTGCATTTTATGTGAAAAAGAAACAAACCTTTGTAATATTAAACCACTGAAAACAGGGTTTGTTGATTATTGCAGCATATCCTGTCCCACCCTGACAATCCTAATTTAGACACCTTTCCAGCTGACTGCAGTTTTGACAGCGCTGCCAATCAAGATGCCCTGCTTCTTAGCCATTGGGTGGGCACGTGATGGAAAATCATCTGATCAGACCCTGTCCTGGAAATTTAAATCTTGGGCTGAATAATTCATCTGAAGAGCCTATTTTTCAGTTCTGTCCTGTTTGGATCCTGGAAGCTGTCCTATTTGTGGTCTTTCTCAAGGCCTGATTATTCTGCTTTCACTTATATCATGAGCAACTGCAAATTTTCCCCAAAAGTCCTTTTGATTGTAAGAAAATTTTATGAACAACTATACACCAACAAATTGGACAATCTGGAAGAAATGGATAAATTCCTAGAAACATACAGACTTCCAAAACTGAATCAGGAAGAATCAGAAAATCTGATATACAGATTACAACTAATGAAATTGCAGTAGTAATGAAAAATCTCCCAACAAACATAAGTCCTGGACTAGATGGCTTCCCAGGTGAATTTCACCGAACACTCAAAGAAGAACTAACACCTTTCCTTCTCAAACTATTCCAAAAAATTCAAGGGGAGGGAAGACTCTCAAGCTCATTTTATGAGGCCAGCATTATCCTAACTCCAAAACATGATATAGACACTACAAAGAAAGAAAGTTCTGGACCAATATCCCTGATGAACATAGATATTGAAATCCTCAACAAAATATTAGAAAACTCTATCTGCAATACATTAAAAAGATCATGCACCATGATCAAGTGGGATTTATTCTGGGAATGCAAGGTTGGTACAATATCTGCAAATCAATAAATGTGATATACCACATAAACAGAATGAAGGATAAAAGTAACATGATCATATTAATAGATGCATAAAAAGAATTTAATAAAATCCAGCAGCCATTTATGATAAAAATACTCAGCAAAGTGGGAATAGAGGGAACATACCTCAGTATAATAAAGGCCATATATGACAAACCCTCTGCCAGCATCATATGCAACAGGCAAAAACTAAAAGCATTTCCTTTAAGATTGGGAACAAGACAGGGATGTCTTCATTCACCTCTCTTATTCATGGTAATGGAAGTCTTAGCCATAGCAATCAGAGACCAAGAAGAAATAAAAGGCATCTGAATTGGAAAAAAAGAAGTAAAATTTTCATTATTTGCAGATGACATGATACTGTATATAGAGATCCCTAAAGATTCCACTAAAAAACTACTAGAATTGATAATAAATTCAGTAAAGTAGCAGGATACAAATTAAATACCCAGAAATTAGTTGCACTTCAATGCACCAATAATGAACTATCATAAAACTAAGAAAAAATCCCATTTACAATTACATCAAAAAAATAAAATACCTAGGAATAAATTTAACCAAGGAGGTAAAAGACCTCTACTGGGAAAATTATAAGACACTGAAGAAAGAAAGTAAAGATATACAAATAAATGAAAGCATATACCATGTTCATAGTTAGGAAGAATTACCGTCATTAAAATGTTCATACTACCCAAAGCAATCTATAGATTCAATGAAATTCCCATCAAGATACTAATAGTGTATTTCACAGAGCTAGAATAAATATTCCAAAAATTTAGGTGAAACCACAAAAGACTCCAAATAGCCACAGCAATCTTGAGAAAGTCAAAATTGGAGGAATCATGCTACCGGATATCAAACTATACTACAAATTCATATTAATCCAAACAGCATGGTACTGGCATAAAAACAGACACATAGATTAATGGAACAGAACAGAGAGCCCAGAAATAAACCCATGATTTTATAATCAATTAAATATTTGACAAAGGAGGCAAGAATATACAATGAGGTAAAGGCAGTTTCTTCAATAACTGGTGTTGAGGAAATTGGAAAGATATGTGCAAGAAAGAAAGAAAGAAAGGAAAGAAAAGAAAACAAAGAAACTAGATCACCTTCTTACACTACACACAAGAATAAACTCAAAAGGGATTAAAGACTTAACTGTTAGACTCAAAACCATAAAAATCCTAGGAGAAAACACAGGTAGTAAAATCTCAAACATTTCTCCTAGAAATATTTTTTCTGACATATCTCCTTGAGCAAGAGAAACAAAAGAAAAAGTAAACAAATGAAACTACATCAAACCAAAAAGTCTTTTGCACAGCAAAGGAAATCATCAGCAAAAATGAAAAGACAATCCACTGAATGGGAGAACATATTCACCAATGATGCATGTGACGGGGGTTAATATCCAAAATTTATAAGAAACTTATAAAACCCAACACCAAAAAACAAACAATCCCATTAGAAAATGGGCAAAGGACCGGAATAGACACGTCTCCAAAGAAGACATACAAGTGGCCAATAGACATTTGAAAAGATGCTCAAGACACTAATTATCAGAGGAATGCAAAGTAAAACCACAATGAGATATCAAATCACACCTGTCAGAATGGCCATCATCAATAAATCAACAAACAACAAGTGTTGGTGAAGATGTGGAGAAAAGGGAACTTTGTGCTCTACTGGTGGAAATGTACAATAGATCGGTGCAGCCACTATGGAATGCAGTATGAGATACCTCAAAAAATTAAAAATGGAACTGCCTTATGACCTAGAGATTCTGAAGAAATCCAAAACACTAATTTGAAAGAATATATGCACCCCTATGTTTACTGCAGTGTTAGCTACAACAGCTAAGATTTGCAAGCAGCCTAAGTGCCCAACAGTAGATGAGTGGATAAAAAAGCTGCGGTACATTTACAAAATGGTACACTACTTGGCTGTAAATAAGAAGGAAATCTTAACCTTTGCGATAGCATGGATGGACCTGGAGGGTATTATGCTGAGTGAAATAAGCCAGTCAGAGAAAAATAAGTACCATATGATTTCACTCATGTGTGGAATCTAATGTACAAAATGTACTAACAAAATAGGAGCAGACTCATAGATACAGAGGACAGACTGACAGCTGTCACTGGGAAGGGGGTTTGGGAAGCTGGGCAAAACCAGTGATGGAATTAAGGGAAAAAAACAAACAAACAAGAAAACCCTCATAGATACAGACAGCGGTATGATTATCAGAGGGAAAGGGGATGGGGGGAGGTAGAAGACAGTGTAGGGGGATAAATGGTAGCCAAAGGAGACTTGCCTTGGGGTGGTGCACACACAATACAATATAGAGATGATATATTATAGAAACATACAGCTGAGATCTATATAATTTTTATTAACCAATGTCACCTCAATAAATTCAATTAAAAAAGAACACAAAAACCTCAAAAAAACCACCCTCAAAACCCAAAAGTCCTTTTGGGCTTATATCAGCTGGAGTCAATTTCTGTTACTTGCAACCAGAGAACAGACTCTGTGCTCCATGGTGAACAACCGGTTCCACGCAGAGCTAGGATGTGTAGGGCTCCTTCTCTAAGATACCTGTAATATAACGACTGCTAGGAGTTGTGCAACACAGGCCCGACGTGTGCATGAAGTCTCATCAGATGCTCACATCAGCTCTCTGGAGTGGGAGTGGGAGGTCTTATACCTCTCATTTTAGAGAAGAGGAAACCAAAGCTCAGACACCGGAAGTCACGGCTGCAAAGGGGGAAATCTAGAACTTAGACTCAGGAATCTGACTCCAGGGCTACACGTGTAACCATGAATCTTTGCTGCCCCTCACTCACAGGCAGCAATAAATAAAGTCACGGTGGGTCCTTCTAGCAGGAAGTGGGCAAGATGGTGGCCCAGGGGCCATACAAAGTCCATGGATATAATTTTTTTGGCTGGTATATTTATTTGAATTCATTGTCGATATTTTTAAACCAGGTCGTTTTATCCTCTCCCTTTGCTCCTTATTTCCCCCCTTCTTTTGCAAAGCAGAAGCTTTGGCAAACCCAAGTCTGCACTGCTGTGTGGTGCTATCAGCTGGATTTGAGTAGCGGCCATCATTTCAGACTATCACACTCTGTCTGCAACAGTCTCTCTTGCGCCCTGACTGCTGTGGGGCTCAGTTGGCTGTGTGTCATCCTGCAAAGTGAAGAGTCACCGGTTCAATTCCCTGCCAGGGCCCATGTCTGGGTTGCGGCCCGGTCCCCTAGGCTGGGGTGCTTGCGAGAGGCAACCAATCGATGTTTCTCTCCCTCTCTTTCTCCCTCCCTTGCCCTCTCTAAAAATAAATAATAAAAAAAAATATTTTAAAAACACCAAACAGTTTCTGCTGGTCCCACTTCCTGCGAAAAGAAGCCAACTATTCTGTGCCTTTCACGTGCCAGGTTCTGTCCTAAGTACTATGGGGACTGGCTCATTTAAGCCTCGCAACAACTGTGACATCCCTTAGTGGTAGTTGTAATTCTTATCCCCATTTTACAGATAAGAAAACAGGCAAAGAGAGACCCAGTAATGTACCAAAAGCACATAGAGCTGATACAGAGCCCTGGTGCAGAGCCATGAGCTCAGTCACTGCGCTATGCCTGCCCCCTGCCCTTTAAACTGGACGCTGGAGCCACGTGCCTCTGACATCCTGAATCCAACTATTCCGACTGGCACGTTTACCAGTAAATGTTAATGGGATTCCCCAAATGGCTATCAGATTCCATCGTGGTCATCACTTGAGTGAAAACCTGCTCGGTCCCAGAGCTCTTCCTACATGTGAAGTCTCATGGCAGGCGTGAGACGGAGACTGAGCTTTGTGGAAAGATAAAAAAGATGGTTTCATGTCTTTCTTTCTTTTTGACTCCTCCTGTGATAAAGAGTTGGAGAACTGGCTCCAAAATGCCTAAGAAACTCATCTGAGCTGGAGGCGCCAGAACCAATACCAGAAGGTGTTTGATCAGCCCATATCCCCTCTCTGGGAGGTGCCTGCAACTGTATCCCATGGGTTGGGGCTTAGCAATGAACCTTCTCTGAAATGTTCCCAATTCACACCTGTCCTTAGAAGTGGAAGGTGGAAATCTGAGATTATCGACTCCCGCTTCCCATCGAAACCAATTTACCCGACTCATATTAAATGGGGGCCGAAAAGGAAACCCGGAGAAAAGATGGGGGAGCTCTCTAAACCTGAGGCCATAAAACAAGTTAGGAAGATTTAACAGACCTCCGTTGCTACGGACAACCCCCAAAACGTCTGGAGGCGAAGGAAGGCTGAGAAAGTGTGCTCCTTAGAAACAGCTTCTCCAGGGTTGCCAAGGAAGGAGAGTGTCCAGAGAAGGAGTTGCTGGCCATTGCACCACGCCAAACCCAGGGGGCTCCCCAAGGCTGGTCCCTGAGGGCCCTGGGGAAGCCATGTCCATCCCTGAGCTCTCACTGCTGCTGTGCCCAACTCTGGTGGATGGAGCATCTCTGCTGCCTGCACGTAGAGCTGAGATTTCTGATTTACTGGCCTGTCTTTCCTACTGATTGGGAGCTCTCCGAGGGCGGGGCCCCAAGGCTCCAGGGCTGTGTGAGGGATTTGCCACCCAGGAGTGTTGGGTGATGTTGGATGGGGCGGTGGGGGGAGGGGGGGATAAAAGGAGGGAGGGAGGGAGATGGAGAAGAAGAGAGGAGAGAAAAGAAAAGAGAAAAGGATAGGAAGGCAGGTGGGAAGAGGAGGGAGAGAGGAAAAGAAAAGTGGGACAATGAGAGAAAGGGGGAGAGAGAGAAAAATGGGAGAGAGAAAAGGAGGAAGAGGAAAGGAAACAGGAAAAAAAGAGGGGGAGACAGGGAAGAAGAGAGGGAGAGAGAAACCGAGAAAGAGCCTACATGTAGAGAAGGGGAGAGGAAGGAAAGAAAAGATTGAAAAAAGAACAAATAAAGATGAACACAGCAGCCAACACTCTCAAAATCCTGTTTCAGGCCCCCTGAGTGCTTTTTACATGTTTTAGCTCATTCCATGGGGCAGGCAGGCTGCCTGCCCCCCTTCTCCAGATGATGAGACTGAGGTGGGGGAGGTGGTGTGCTTTGCTCAAGGTTGCTCAGCTAGTAAGTGCTAGCCTTGTGATTCCTCTCCAGGGAGCCTGCCTCGTGACATCTGCCCTCCAAGAGGGGGCAAGGAGGCAAGGCAAAGGGACAAGGCAGGGGTACTCACCTCGCCAAGAGCTGGGACACACGCGGAAGGGCCGATGGGGTGACGCCTGCAGGGGAGAAGACAAGGTTGAAGAGCTTCAGCTGTCAGAGTGATGTTCCGCACAAGGCGTGACTTCAGACGCCAGCTTAAGTGGGGAGAAACTTAGAGAGTTGCTGCCAGGGACTTTCTCAACCACAAAAGCTTCTCCGAGGCATGTCTTAGCGCTCTCCTTCTCATAGACCCTTTCTGGGCAAGCTCTGTCCCCAGGTGCTACTACTTGGACAACTACAGAGGAAGAATCTATAGCATCTCAAACCACCAGAGTGGAAACCATCCCCCCACCTATTGTACAGATGGAGAAACTGAGGCCAAATGGCCAGAAAGAAGGTGCTCGGCCCAGGTCACATGACTAGATAGCAGCACAACTGGGACCTGAACTTGGTTTCCTGACTCTTGACATCCATTTCCCTTTTTCTGATGACATCAGTCTGATGTTCCTCCCCTCTCCCCCCAGTTTTAGTTCATGGGGTTCAGGTCGGGCAGGGAGGGGAAGGCACCTCTCAGATCACCTCCTAGGCTCCAGCTAGGGCGTGGAGCAGGGGCATGGGAGAGGCCTGAGCCCCCGACTCAGCTGTATCCCTGGGCACATGGCATCCAACCATTGGTAGGAGACAATAAAGCAGGTGACGAAAAGGTGATAGAACTAAAGGGAGAGACATTTGCAAGAGCCTAATTTTACAAATGGACAGTTAACTTCTATGTCATCCTTCACAGCACACCTGTGTCTTCTCTGTCGAGCCCTGGAAATGACTAGACAAGTCATTGCACCAGCCTGCCAATTCACACTCCTTGGTATATAGGGCAGTAGCTGGGGTGTCCTCGTGCCTCCTGAGAAACATCCCAAGGTCCCCAGAGCCCTGAGCCTCTCTCGGGCCCTCAGCTGGGGGCTCAGAAAGCCAGCTTGCAATTCCATCTCTACCAGCTGGTAGCAATGGGACGCTGGGCAGGTTGCCTATCTCTGGGCCTCAGGTCCCTCCTGTGAAATTGGGAAAACATTCTTTAGCTCCCAAGGGTCTGTGAGGATTAATGAGAAGACGAAAATCATATCCGTCACTGACCCAGTGCTTGTGGTGCGCCAGGTTCTCTCCTAAATACGTTCTTTGGGTTCATTCCTTTAATCCTCGACACTGCCCCATGCTCAGGGCTCTATTCCATTCTGCTGTCACAGACGGAGACATGGAGGCACACAGAGCTCGAGTTGCTCACCCGAGGCCACACAGGCTGTAAGGGGTAGATCTGTGACCTGAACCTCAGTGGTCTGGCTCCAGAGTTTGTCTTTGCAACCAGGACACTGAGGCCCACAGTGACAATCATCACACTAAGAGCAACTCACGTCCCCTTAGAAGTTCAGTGCATGCCAGGCCCTGCGTTCACTGCTGCCAGGCACGATCTCAATTTAGTCTTCGCAGTGGGACATGGCAGGCAGCGGCGTTCTCCCCAGTGGACAGGTGAAGAGGCTGGGGAAGGCCAAGTGCCTTGCTCAAGCCAACAACCTACAGGCATGGGAACTGGGACTTGAACGCCAGGGCTATTTGATTGCCTGGTCCATTTGCTTGATCATCAGAGGAGTTAAATTCTGTTTGTGTCCCAACCCCCCGGGGTGAGCGTGGAGTCCTAACGTCCATTTAGAGAGCTACATCTGGAAGTGAAAAATAGAACAGACAACATCAGCATGATTGCTTACTGTAAGAAGGAACTGTGGAAAGTTTTTATTCCAACTATAGATGTGAAGGTATGTGTTATGTGTGTGTATGTGTGGGTACTGAATGGCAGTGTAAAAAGAGGTTTTTTTTTTTTTACCACGTGTTGTATTCAAAGAAAAGTTGGAACAGCCTAATCCCAAGGGAAGCCCCAGCGCAAATAGGTGCTCCATCAACGCTAATTTCCCTTCTCCGGGTTTGCTGCTCCGGAGAGGGCCCCACATCCTTCACCAGCCTCCCCCAGGACTCGAGAATGAAATGTCTCATTCTGAAGCAGCCGCAGCCTCATTACTGGGGAGAGATCATTGTCGGAGTGTGTCTAATACATACATGACTGAATTAAACACTTTGAATATGTTTTTGTTAATAAATATGTAAATATTCATAAAATCTGAATCTATGGAAACATTCCTGCGGGCTGGGATTCACTTGGCATCCTGTAAATCTGAAGCGAGAGTCTTCGTGCCAACCACCCCCGGCCCCCCCCCCCCCCCCGCCTCCTTCGCTGACCGCTCTGCCAGGCTCCGTGTGCTCCCCGCATTCCAGCTCCCTCGGTGCTCTAACTGCAGGGAGATCTGCCTGTCTTCCCTACCGGGCAGGTCTTCCTCTCCTGCTGTGCAGACAAGGAATGCTCCCCCATTCCCACTGCAGCAACCCCAGGAAGGCTGAGCAAGCCAGAAAAGGCATCCCGGAAGTGCGGGGAGATTTTCCTTTTGCCGATGTGTGATTTTGTTTTCTTTTTTTGGTTGTTGTTATTTTAAGAACTGGTATCACATGTAGCTTTTTCATCCTGAGACACCTGGGGGGACCGAGAATCAAGAAAATGAATGGATTATACATGGGATGATCCCCCCACCTCTTCTTCTTTTCTTCCCAGCTAATGATGGCACAGATCTCACTGAAAATTCCAATGGCATGTGACAACATAAAGCTCTCAGGCTCCTTCCCTTCTTCGGTGCCTGGATGCAGAGGTGAATTCAGTCCCAACTGAGTCAAGGATGAAGACGGGTGCAGAGCTGGGGCAGGGGCTTCCAGGAGCGGAGAGCCTCTCTCTTCCTCTGGTGCTTTTGCTGTGGTCCAGGGCTGCTTCCTGCATATCAGGAAGTGGGAACGTAGGCAACGTCCACTTTGACGGGCAAGGCGGAAGAGTTGGCTTCCCTGGTCATGTCTCAGGTGACAGCCTGGGCTGTCTTTCAGTGATGCCCCAGACATCTGCTTCACCACTTTGGGTGCCACTGGATTTGATGGCTTTCTCCAGATGGCAGTCAGAGCCAGACAGACACATGGAAGGAGCCAACAGAGCCAGGCCAATGTGCTTCGCATGCAGGTCAGGGATGGTCTCATTTGTAGCCATGGCAGTGTCTCTGGATGCAGGTGTGATGCTCCGGACAGGAGCACGGCCTCCACGCCACAGCTTGCCAGCAGGGGCGAAGAAGGTGTGGACTGTGGTCACGAGTCTCCCCATGATGTCAAGTGTTATAGAGCCTGGCAGTGGGTGTGAGAGGGCGCAAGCGTGCTGGCAATCTAGGGGGAGTTGTCTTGCCGCTCATTGTTACCCTGTCACAAACACGGGGCTACAAACACTTGGCAGGTAAACCAATGACTCCATTTTTCACATGAGTCCCAAGCGTGTTTGGGCTGGTGAAGACAAGCACATTCAGCAGCTGCAGCCCCTCGGACAGTTGCGGGATCTGGTGCCTGGGAGATGGAGCTGCACTTCCCACCGATCACAGCTTCCTGTTCTTCGCCTTGTCAGTGTCATTGAACTTGCCGTGACGGGCGAGGTTGCGATCAATGCAGGAGTCACTGAGGTGCCTTACCTCCACGTTGCCAGTGGCAAAAGCAGCCCTAGTGACCCGCGTCTCCAGAGCCAGATCCAGGTAGGTCAGGCTTCCCCAGGTGTCTCTGGGGGATGTGGCCGCACAGGAAATGGGCCAGGCAGCTCTCCAGAGGGGAGGGGCAGAGAGCCTCCTCCACTGACTTCCGAATTTAAAACGCTAAGCCTCTTCTTCCTGCCCAGCTTCCTACGGGTGAAGGGAGAAGGAAGAGCTCAATGGATGGCCAGAGCCTCTGGGATGAGCTCATTCATTCATTCCTTGACTCCCACGTGCCAGGCCTGTGCTAGGAATGGGGTTCCAGTCATCGGCAAAAGCAGTCAGGGTCCCTGCCCTCCTGGACCCTCCTCTTTAGTGGGGAGATGGATGGCAAACAAAAATTACATAAATAAGTACTTAAGTATGCTTATAACGAGGTACAAGGAAGAAAGTGCATGGCAATGAGCATGTGCTCAGCATTCACCTGGGGGTCTTGTTAAAACGCAGATGCTGGGTCTGTCCGTCAAGGAAGCTCCCAGGCGATGCTGTCGCAGCAGGCTCAGAGGCCACGCTCTGAGTAGCGGGAGTTTAGGCCACGGGCCGATAAAAACTGCAATCACTAAAAACGATCACAAGTCTGGGTCCTTAAAAATAAATCTCCATTCCCCAAGTTACAAATTCCAACGCATATGGGGGCCAGGAAGGTGGTATCAGTGAGCAAAGGTCTAATTTCAGTATAAGGAAACTAAAGCAGGATCTCTGTGTGGACGTGCACCCTTCTGTGCGATGGTGTGCGTATGTGACCGTGTGAAGTAACTTGTTCAAGGGCACGCCCGCTTCGCTCATTCAATTCACACACTCAACGAATGTTTATTATGCACCTACTGCGGGCTAGATCTACAACCCAAATCTCAGTATTTGTTAATGTTCCTTCCGAAGAAAGCGTATGTGTAGACGGGGCCAGACCCCAATTCAAACCCCAGCTCCGCTGCAGTGTAGCTGTTCTGCTCCGTGCCCATCACCTTCTCTCTCTAAGCCTTGGTGTCCACATCTGCGAAATGGGGCAGCATCTCATTCCTGGGCACCTGCCAAACAGTGACCGCTCCACGTGCAGCAACTGTTACAAGCTTTCCGTTCCCCTGAGGTCCTTGCTTAAGCCACTGAAATCCGGGAGCCCAGTTTGAATGTTCACACTCTTTTTTTAAACCTCTCACTGGGAGGATGAAGAAGCTAATGATTCTGAAAGCAGCAACCGCTCTTACGATGTCTAAATTGGACCCCGGGGGCCGCTTTCCAGCCATCCCTGTGAGATGAGACAGTATCTAGTAAGATGTTTAGAGGCAGGTCTTTGCTATAAAAGGTGCATGTCTATAAACTGTGTCACCTCATCTTCCTCGTGTGGGTGGTGCAAGTGGCTCCCAGACCAGGGACCGGGACAGTGGGGGAGAGCTCTGTATTTGGAGACCGGAAGCGAGCACCTAATTTTGACTCCCACTGAGTGACCATGTGGCAGTAAGGAGGTCATTTGCTCATCGTGAGGGTGCTCCTGAGGACTGAAAGGAATGAGGCCAGCATATCCCAGAGTGTGTGGACAGAGTGTGAGGGGGTATGTACATCCACACTCTTCTATTTAAATTGCCACAAATTCATTTTAACGCGTATTTGAATCATAACAAGACTATCTGTGGTAACTTTTCGTTTCTGGAGCTGGCCTTAAGTCATCCTTTTAAAAGGAATTCATTGAAAGGGAGTTGATTTAAAGAAAAATGAGTAGCAAGCAACAGTATGACCATATGGCAGAGAAAGTGGCTTGAGAATGTGTGGCGTTTGGAAGCCACCACTGGAAGTGGAAGTCCTGTCCCCACGGCGGGCATCAGGTCATCCGTAACACTCAGTGCCCTCTCTCATAAAGAGGGGATTGGCGATTTCTTTAGCGCTAAACCAGTTCTGTTCCGAGCTGGTAGAGGCCGTTCTGGGTGCCAGCTCCCCAGAAGCCAGCTGATAAAGGCTTAGTGGTGGGAAACGTGGGGATCATCTGAGGTTCCCTGGTAAGGACCCGGGCAGAGCTCCGGGAAGCCCAGCCAGGCTTGGGTGCAATGAGTCAAGATGTGCCAGCCCCAGTCTGGAAGTGGGGAGACTGAGGCCCAGGGCAGAGGAGCTGCAGGGAGCCCGAGGTGCCATGGCAGCCTGGCTTGTTCCACACGGCGGGGGTGTTGCCTCTGTCTCCAAGGAAACACGTAATGAGACTACAGCCTAGGCTTCTGACCAGTTTACCTGCATTTTAATATTTTTAAAAAAGATCTCTAGTCAGCTTGACTTTCTTAGTTCTATAACTTTTTCTCCCTCCTTCCATAAGATGGGATACAATTCAAATCCAATTTTCCCTTGGATGGTGATGAAGGAGAGCTAATATTTCTCAAGTGGTTCCTACAGGTCAGGCACTGTGCTATAAGGCTGTATGGGTCTTTGTCTCTTTTGTTCCCCAGAACAACCCAATGAGGAAGTTATTATCTGTCCTTTACAGATCTGGAAAATGAGGCGGGGGGAAGTAAAGGAAACTTTACCAAGGATTCAAAGACAATATCAACCTGAAGTTAACTATGATTCCTCAAGACTGCTTTGTTTTCACCCACCCATCCATCCGCTGGCCCGCCCCCCCATCCATCCACCCATCCATCTTCCACCCATCCATCCACCTGCCCACCCATCCATCCACCCACCTGTCCATCCATCCATCCACCCATCCATCTTCCACCCATCCATCCACCTGCCCACCCATCCATCCACCTGCCCACCCATCCATCCACCCATCTGTCCATCCCTCTGTCCACCCATCCATCTTCCACCCATCCATCCACCTGCCCACCCAGCCATCCATCCATCCATCCATGCACTCACTCACACGTAAATAATTTTTAGGGATCTCTCATGAGCCAGCCATTGAAGTATGTACTCATTTGGAACAGAAATTTAAATGCATATATAGGAATAAAAAATTGTCCTTGTCTTGGAGGAATTCAGCATCTAAAACAATAAACTCACCTGGGAGCTTTAAAAAATCCGGTTGCCTGGGTCACACTTCCAACCCATCAGATTCTCCAAGGGTGGGATGTGGACATTATAGTAAAAAAATTTTTGTTTAACTTTCCAGGAGATTCCAGTATGTAGCCAGGTGTAAAACCAGCCCTGGAACCTGGTTCTTAGAGTGTGGTCGCTGGCCCAGCGGCATCAGCATACTTAGCACTTGTTAGGAATGCAAATCCTCAGGGTCCTGACCCAAACCTTTATAGAATCAGAAATGTGGGGCGGGGGCGGGGGGTTGTGTGTGTAGGTCGTGTGGCCCATGCTTCCCTGGGGTCCTCCTTGGAGCTGGGTTGCTCAATAGTGACTCTCGGAAGGGCCCCGGAGGAGGGAGACATGGAGGTCAGGCAGGAAGAGCAGCCGGTCTGGCTGGCACTTGAGGCCACAGCTAGGGTGGAATGTCCCCTACAGATCCCCAGAGCTCACGCCCATGTCAAGAGAAAGGAGTGTGTGTGTGTGTGTGTGTGTATGTGTGTGTGTTTAACCTGACCCCTGGGCCCCGCCTGCTTAAATTTGGGAGCCCCCTCTCTCTGCCCCAGTGCTTCCACCCGTGCAGCCTCAGCCTGCGCAGACCACTTGCTCCAGGCAGGTGGAAAGGGCACGGCAGTTCCAAGTCACAATAAGGAGAGAGGTGGTGTCTGGGGGGCCACTGCTGTCGGGGAAGGACACTTGGGATCTGGAGACTCCCTGGAGCCTGATGGAAATTGATGATGGAACCAAAGCCAGAGCGCCTGGGTGTGGTTCCTGGCCCTGCCACTAGGCTGCGCGACTTTGAGCTTGTTACTGAACTCCACCACGCCTCAACTTCCGCACCTGTGAAATGGGCTCATTGTCTAATAGGAGTGTGGTGATTATCCGAGAAACAGCACAGGGGACTGATAGGAGAACAGACCCTGGAGTCAGACTGCCTATGTTCTATTTTGGCTGTCACTTAACTGCGCCATCTTGATCAAGCTGCATAACTTCTCTGTGCCACAGCTTCCTCACATGTAAGAGGAGGTTAATGACTGTACCCACTTCTTAGATTTGTGGGGGTTGAATGAGCTCAGATGTCAGTGTGGCTAGTGCTCGCTTTAATGGTGATGGAGGAGGAGCAGAATTAATCTAGATGTACACTGCTTTGAACAGTGCCTGGCATAGTGTGCACTTGCAAAAATTAAAGACACAAGGCAGGGACGCCCCTGAGGGACAGCTGCCCCCGGGCTCCCGCCAGTGGCGGTGAAGCAGAAACGTGGGCTCGCTCTTTCTAAAGCAGTCAGCATTTCATGGGAAACTAGAAATGGATTTATACCCAAACTGTCCCAATTTTTACAACTTTTATTTAAAACATAGTGCAATCCAGTCCTGGCCGGGGAGCTCAGTTGGTTAGCGTGCCGCCCCCATGCACCAAGGCTGCGGGTTTGATCTCTGGTCAGGGCACAGACAAGGATCAACGACTAAGTGCAAAAATACGTGGAACAACAAATTGATGTGCCTCTCTCTCTCATCAATTTAAAAAATAGTGTAATCCAAACAAAGGTGCACCTGAGAGTACGACGTGGCTGTGAGCTACCCGTTTGCTACCATCCATGGCTTTGAACTCACTGTGGTTATTAGATTCAGAGGACAATAACATGGGGTTTTAAGTTGAACTGTTGCGCCATGTCCCTGAGGTGGGCCAGGCACTTTGCAGAACATTACCTCATTTAATCCTTGTGATAAGCACCCTGTGAAGTTGGTCATGCCTTTTTGGTCATTTGACAGGTGAGAAATTGAGGCACAGAAAGGTCCAACAACTTGCCCAGGATCACTGGGCTGGGTGTGGGGGCGGGGGAGCCGGGACTCGGACTTGGATCCTCCTCACTCGGCGGTCTACGCCCTGTCCTAGCTCTGCTGGCTCTGAAACGAAGACAATCCTAAGGTGACCTGTGCCTCTCTAGAAAGAAAAGGATGACCGGCTTTGAACAGGGCTCAATACACCTTCTCAAATTCTCAAAGAGCCCAGGGCGGTTTACACACATGCTCCCAAGTGCCCAGGTATGTTCTCCGCCATGCAGTTTGGGCATGGGGGCCTGGCCCTTCTTGGTGGCACTTAGAGAGGAGTTGCTCCAGCTTTATTACCAGCAGGTAAAGGAAGTGTCACTGTCTTGGTCACATCAGTAATTAGTTCCAGAAGCCTGCAGTTGCTTAAAAGCAAATTCCTTGTGATGTTATATGCGACTAGACACACGTCTCTGGTTTCCCATGACAGTGGCGTAGCATTTGTACCCCACGAGCTGGCATCAAACACAGATCGGGAAGGAGAGACAGCCGGTGGTCCCAGGATACCAGCAGCAAATCCCAAAGCTGCCCCAGGAAAGGGTTAAGCCCAGTGGTTAAACAGAACAGCTTAATGCCTTTTGTTAACTCCAGCTCTACCAGGAAGGCTGACAGATCCCAAACAAGCAAACAATAGCTGGAATTGTTCTGGTGAAAACTAGTCCAGCTGCATCATTTGCCAATAATTTTAAAAACCAGCTTAACTCTCCTCTGCTTCCTTGACTTTAACCCAACCTGAAAGCAAAAGGCAGACGAGTTCTTGTCCCAACATCAACCCCCTTCAAACAAGACGCCTGCTTGGATGCCGAGATGGCAAGAGAGCGATGAGGGACAGAGCAGAGACCCAGGGCCTAACCTGGGACACGCCCGAAGCTGGGTCTCATCTGTGGAGGTGTCAGCGTTTCTTGGAACTGGAGACCAAGACAGAAGTTCAGAACACCGAAGAGCACACTTTCGCCTCGGATGACTAGACAAAACTTCAACGTGTGCTCAAGTTTTGGTCCAGGGGCAACACTCTAACCGGCTGGAGGAGAAATCCTCACAACGACGAGTAGTACTCTGGAAAGGATGGGTGTCTGAGGAGGTTAGCCCCTTACTGATTCCGTGGGGTAAGCAGGGACCGTCTCCGGTCCACCGTAACGCACGCCAGAGGGCCTACCTTCTCTGTCACTCAGAGTGCGGACATCGGCGTCAGCAGTAAGCTTCAGTTTACCCAGACAGGTGCTGTTTACAGTGAGGCTGGGTGAGATCACTAGTTCTAGCATTTCCTTGTACCTGAAAAAAAACAAAGGAAAACATAATCTATTCATTAATTATGCATGTTTACTAATGATTCCTATTTCTTTGCCTGAGTATAAATATGAAAGCTGATTACCTAAACCCAGCCGTCTTATAAATGCTACATAATAAAAATTCACTAAACTTTTCATGAATTGAAATGAAGTACTTCCTCCCCTCCGGAGAATACGCCCACTTGATTAAAATTTTCCCCTCCTTCCTACTGTATTTTGCCATTAGAAAAATTACATTTTGGTCTCTTTTAAATGTCATCTGAATGAGCTGAAGTGGGCCAGGGAGTCTTCCCAGGAGAGGAAGGGAGAAACAGGTAAAGAGAGAGCATTTGAATTTAGATTTCCAAAAGCCAGAGGCATGGGGAGAAGTCAGGGTTGACTGCAGTTAAGAGGAAAGGGGAGGCCATGTTACCTGGTGTGACTTCAGAAAGGCTCAGAAGGCGTTACTGATATTAACCCTTGAGGCAGCAAAACTCACAGCCCATCACCGTGGTCCGTCCCAAGAAAGAAGCCACTAGCTCCTGAATTACTCATGATTTTGATAAAATGTTATGGGGGCAGGGAAGGACAAGAATAATTCTCCTGGGTCATTTTCAATTTTTTATTGAAAAGTTCTCCCACTCTTGCACTATGTCCATACTTATTCCTCCTCAATTCCTACCCACTGTGGTTAGGAAATGAGGTTTCCGGTTAATGCACACAACATCGGACATGGCAGTTTGTAGAGGACTAAACTACAACCAGCATCATTAGACACCGATTCCAATGGTCCTCACAGAAAGGCTGTTTGCTGACGGCATGGCATCCAAGATCAAGACCCGCTCTCATTGTGTTAACAAACACAACACACTGATTGATAGCAAAGTGGTTATGAACTCAGATTACATTGTGAAAAGGTTGTGCATTCAAATTCCAAGGTCACTACCTGGTACCTTGAGCAAGTTACCAAACTGCTTTAAGTCAAAAGTGTTCTCATCTGGACAGAGGGGATCATCAAAGTACCTCCCTGACAAGGTCATGGTGAGATGGAAAGACGTGACACATGTCAACAAAGGGCTCAGGTGGTAGCAACCTACATGCCCACTCTCTACCACAGGAATGAATATCTAGGCAGTAAGCTCACATAATGGAATACAATATAGCAGCGAAAAAGACCGAATGAAGTCCCACACAGCGCAACAGACAGACTGCCAAGCAAAGTACTGGGCGAAGAGGCAGAAGGGTGCCCCAGGTATGATGTCACTTCTGTGCAGCCAAAATACACAAACCAATATTATACACTGTTTAGGGATGCAGACACACAAAGTAAAATAGTAGGTATAGGAACGATAAACACCAATTTCAGGACAATGGTTAACTCTGGGAATAGCAGGGGGCTGTTATTTGGGAAGTGGTACCCTGGGGGTTGCAACTGTGTGCAGAACATTTTAGTTCAGGGGCTGACATTGACTATGGCCCATACAAACCCAGCCTGCCGTCTGTTTTTGTGTGAACCGTGAGTTAAGAATGGGTTTTACATTTTTAAATGGTTGGAAAAAAAATCAAAGGAATTACATTTCATGATGTGAAAATTATGTAAAATTCCAATTTCAGTGTCCTTAAGTAATATCTTTTTTGGGACGCAGCTCTGTTCATCGGTTTACTGAATTGTCCATCGCTACTTTCATGCTGCAACTTCTGGGTAATTGTGACAGAGACCCACAAAGCTGAAAATATTTAATACCTGGCAGAAAAGACTTGGCAACCCCAGTTTTAGCCTGTCAACAGGGCGATGGGCAGACTACTGCTGTGTGGTTACTGTATATCTCTGAAACACTTAGGTTTTAAAAAAGAAAGAAATCATTATTCTAGGACTTACCCACTGCAAGTACTTTTTATATACTTTTTAATCTGATGAGGGAATTCCACACAAATCAGCTTCTACTGCTTATATATATTAGCTGACATGCATTTGGTTCCTAAATCTTCAGGTATACATGAGTGCTGTGTGTCTGTTTTCTTTTTTACTTTTTTAAATCCTAGCCTGTGGGTATGTTTATTGATTTTAGAGAGGAAGGGGCAGAGAGAGACAGACAGACATACATTGATGTGAGAGACAAACATCGATCGGTTGTCTCTTGTACGCACCCCAGCCAAGATGGGACCGCCAACCTAGGTATGTGCCCTGACCAGGGATCAAAACTGCAACCTTTCAGCGTATGGGATGACACTCCAGCCAACTGAGCCGTCTGGCCAGGGCTGCCTGTGCTCTTTTTCCCCTAAAGCCACGGACACTCCAGGATAGAGGCCTAGGAGTCTCGTTCTTTCAATACATCAAACGTATTGCATGGAGCTCAGCAAATGACAGACATTGAACCTGTTGTCTGACTATAGGTCCCAGAAATGTGCATCCTGTCCATGCATTCCCTTCATCCTCTTGGATGTATGCAAATAACTCAAGGTTAAAAAAGAAACAATGACGTAAAAACATAGCACTGGTCTCTAAATATCCAGATGGCTGTGAGTATGGGTATTAGAGGCAGCAAAATGAACTATCTTTCTGCATCCTCAGGGTTTAAAAATATTTAAAGTCATTGCCAACGTTTTAAAATAAAGCCATTTCACATAAAAACCTAGATTTTCAGCTTCTCTTGCAAATGGAAGAACAACAATTACCTGGAGCTAAGTAGTGGCAGACCAGCTTAATCAAAGCCTACTCCAGCTTGCCACAGTTCTCAGCCCTCCCTAGTGCCTTACATTTGACCGTCCTTTTCCGTCTGCATTTCCTCCTGGTCTCTATAGGCCTTTACATCTGAGATCCATCCTCCTGTATCATTGGAAAAGTCTGACAAGGAAAGAAACAGCAATGTGACTTTTGGCCTCAGTCACATAGCTTATTTATTTTCCTGAGTGTTGCTGTCATCCTCAAGAGCTCTTACCACATCCAAACAGCATTTGTTGACATTACAGCAGAGCAGGAATGTGTTTGTGAGTTTTCGCTCTGGGACAGAGTATTGCTCCTAAAGCTTTTGGTGTATTCACCCCTTGCCTAATATCCTTGCAGGCCAAGCAGCGTGGAAATCATCTGTATTTCCCCCACAGCACCTGACCCAGAATCTTGTTCATTCTGGCATCAGACTGACATCTGTTGGGAGATGGGAGGAAGGAAGGTACGGAAGGGGACTAGGAAGGAGGGAGGGAGGGAATCTACAATGGAGTGATTCGCTTCTTTCAACATGATTTTTAAAAAATTCCTGTTTATCCTCATTTTTCCACCCCACCCTAGACAATGACGCTAATGTATTAAATATGTCTCCTTAAACGATGTCACATTGTTTTATGTATGATGCATTTTAACTTACATGAATAGTGTTGTGTATGAGATCTCATTGTTTATTAGACTTTTTCCCCCAGTCTGCACTATGATTTTAAAATGTATACATATTGCTGGATGATTATCTAGCCTGGGGCTACAATTCCATACTGGGCACCGCTCTGTTGTATTTACGCATCGCCCTAAGGATGAACATCTAGGAAGCCTCCATCTCTGAGTCACCATAAACAATGCTGTAGTGAACATCTTCACTGAAATAGAGTGAATATTTAAAAATATTAAAAACATAAAATAAAAAAACATATTTATGTATATGTTAGCGGACTGCTCTTTGTAACTCCTGTGCTATTCCAGATTCCCACCAGAAGTACATAAGCATTCTAGTTTCATAAATTCTTGCTAACACTTGGCATTGTCCACTTTTCTAATTTTTGCCACGCTGATGGGTGGAAAATGATATCTCTTAGTTGTTTTAATTTGCATTTCTATGATTACTAGTGAGTTTAAGCATATATTCACATAATTATGGGGCACATGAGCTTCTGAGAACTGTCTATTTATATCTTTTATCCTTGCCCATTTTTCTACTGGATTTCCTTTTGTTTTTGTCTTTTTGTTTTCTTGTTGGTTTGCTGACATGCCTTGTAGAATTTAGGTATTGGTTCATTGTTGGTTTTAGATGCTGTAAGCTTTTCTTAATCTTTCATATTCTGTTTTCTTTATTTATAGTGTCTCATAGAATAAAAAAATTCTTCCATATTTGTCCAGTAAGCTACTTTTTCCTAAGTGTAAAAATTCTTTCCCTAACCCTGGGACATGAAGTTTGTCCACATTTTAAGCTATTGACTTTGAATTTTAAACTTTCATATTTAAGTCTTTACTTCATCTGAAGTCTTCCACTTAGTGTGATTTAAAGTTGCATTTTCCTCCAATATTGGAGAAAATGAAAATAAGCCAATCTTCCTAAAATGTATTAAGCTGTCTAACTGAGTTTACCCCCCCAGATATGCTGGCATAGTTTGTATTTTTGGTTCCATCTCATTACACAATCAAAAATAAAAGCTAGAAAACATTGTTTTAAGGTATTGGAGGACAACTAAGGCAGGGTCTGAGGGCCTGAATTCCCAGAGGGATGAGAAATGGACCGAATTAAGCCTGACCTCTATCACTTTTCCTTGCAAGACATTTGCCAATTTATAAACACAGAGGAAAAACTTAAGGGCTTTGAGTTTTCTAGTCTCATTAGGCTGGGGGCACAAAACTAGGAGTTCAGGGCTACTCACCTGAGGCAGCTAGCAAAGATCCTAGAGATACGCAAACAATAGAGAAGTGAGCCTACTGTTGTTGACAGCCACTACCTTTGAGGCATTTGCTGATACCTAAGCTGGGCGGGGTGAGAGGCAGAGAAGCCAAGCAGGAAGGGGGAACTGAGAAGGCAGAAACGAAGCACAGCCTTTGGCAACAGCCCAGGACTATGGAGGCAAATTTTAGAGTTCATGGCTCATCAAGGATGAGAGGCCTTGGTAAACACACCCGGCTTTTATTTCTTAATTTTTTTAAATTTTGTTTTTCAATTATAGTTTAACACACACAAGGCTTTTAACTGACACCCCTGCAGGGTTACTCCCTTGGAGTGAGGGCAAACCAAACAGATCCTGCCTTGAGTCATC